TGACGTATGGTGTTGCCCCGCAGGTACGTTTACGAGCCAGCACAACGCCCGCAAAGTGTCGAAGCTGACCGGCGCGCGCAAGCGCCGCGCCCTGTTCAAGGAGTCTGGGCAGCCGCCAAAGAGACGCCGCACCGCGTCGGGGCCGGACGACCACTACGGCCGCGACGCCCAGGGCCCTCAGGGCGAGAGCGAGGGCGAGGACGAGCCGCAGCCACTCCCAGAGGTTGAGGACATGGCCGTGTTGGAGGCGAAGATCCGCGCCCACCTGGATGCCATTGAAAAGAGTAGAGAGAGGATCGAAGAGATCATGAAGATCACCCAAAACTCTTAGGAGTGGCCGAGGGGTCCGCAACTAGGTTCGAGCGCGTACACTGGCCGCCCGGAAAACTAGGAAGACCAGGAAGACCACCAGAAAGACTAAAGAAAACCGAAGAAGACCAAGAAAATCGTAGGCCACAAATGTGACGGAAAACCGAAAAATTTAAGGGAAGACCGGAAAAACTTTAGAAAAGACCTAGAAATTGCAAGGAGGGCCAGAAAATGCAAGGGAAGGCCGATGAAAATGCGAGAAAACCGCAAAAACTGGAGGAAGCCTTTACAAAATCTCAGAAAACCAAGATATTGGGAAAACCAAGAAAAAGTTGGGAAGACCGGGAAAACTTTAGGAAAACCTAGGAAAACTAGGAAGCCCACCACATGTGTACACCGGCAGACCGTACTTGCGGACCCCTCGGGAGTGGCTCACCGAGCGCCGCTTGCGCCTCACCGCGTCGAACTTCGGCCCGGTCTGTCGTCGGTCTAAGCTCTTGTCGGTTAAGATACTGGTTCACCACCTCCTGTACACCGACCCGACCAACAAGACCAAGGCCATGGAGCACGGGTCGGCGACAGAGCGGACCGCGAGGGAGCACTACGAGGCCAAGCACGGAGTGACGGTGCGAACTTGTGGCCTTGTGCTAGACCAGGAGTATCCGTTTTTGGCAGCAAGTCCAGGTGAGATTCCGAATTTATATTCGCTTTCTCTGGGGAATGTCCACACACTTGGAAAAGCGCAGTTCGTACCGGCTGTTTCATAAAAACACAGGTGCGGGCGGGTTTGCCTACCCAGGGGCTATGGCGCCTTACGGGCATATCGAATAGGCAGACCCGCCCGCACCTGTGTCATTTATCAAACACCCGGTACAAGTATTTATTTTACTACATATTTCCGAGTAACAGCAAGTTATTTTTTTCATTTTCAGACGGATTTTTAGATGATGACACGCTTATTGAGATTAAATGCCCCACAAGCGGCCTCCACTTTGACTCCGCAGAGGAAGCGGTCAGATGTAAAAAGGTAACTTTCCCTTGATGTCTGCTGCAAAGGGTGCGGAGGACAAGGCCTCGCTTGCACCCGTTGAAATTTCTAAATATTATGTAATTACTGTTTGTTTCTGATTTACAGCTGGATTATCTCAAGTTGGATGGCAATGGTGCCCTCTACCCGTACGAGCGGTCTGACTACAACTTCCAGATCCAGGGACAGCTCCACATTACAGGACGCAGTAAGTGTGTCCTGTATATCAGGAGCATGTGGATGAGGCCACAGGCGTTGCGTCCAAGAAGTGGGACAAAGAGATCTTAATTACGCGTAATGACAAGTTTTGGGCAGAGGATATGGAGCCTCACCTAGTGCAGTGAGTATTCGCTCGGTGTTCTCTCTTATAAGCGGCTATGTCCGATCGCATAATATCTTTGAAATTTCAATGCAGGTTTTACAAGCAGGCACTAGTCCCCGAACTAGTATGCCCTCGGGCAAACTCCAGCAAGGCCTCTAGGGACAAAATTCGGGAGGCGCCGTATGTCCTAGAGGCCATTGCCGCAAGAAAAGCCCTGTTAGAGGAGCAAGCGCTCGCCAGGCAAAACAAAGAAGGAAAGTCATCACAAACCAAAGCAACGGCGAGGAAAAAATAAACAACAAATGTGCCAATTTTTTGTTGTTGGTTTTCGTGCTTTTGTAAATGTTTACTTGTCACACAGTGCCATTATTATATATCCATTCTCAACAATGTCCAACGACTGTTTTACTTTTTTTGCCAATTTTAGTCAATTGCAATCACAGATTTCGAATAAGGGGGGCCCGCGCGGCAGACACGGCCGGGGCCCGGGCCGGGCCGCCAGCGCCGCAACGCGGCCCGCTCCGCCGCGCCTCGCCCAGCGTACGCACGGCACGGGCGTGGGGCTCGGTTACGCACGGCACGGCTCTGCGTGTCACAGGGGCCCCGGCGCTCTGCTGCTGTCTCAGCTTTACGAGGGGCAGTGGGAGGGGGCAAAGATAAGGGCCGGTCCCTCATTCTTCTAACTCTCACCGCCTGACCGAAGGAAACAACCGTGACGACTCGTGCAGAGGTCCGGCGTTTCCCAAATTCCCACCACACCGTTGAAGATATCGATCTCAGATTTTGATACAATGTAGATAATGGATGTGGCTACAGCGGTACAGAGCGATTTTCTACAAAAAGCGCCCACGAAAAAAACTGTTGTGGCCGAGTGAATGGGTTCATTGTAGGCAATACAGGCAATGTCAGAGGCAAACGAATGCGTTCGCAGGGTGGCCACCTCCCGGTACCTATCAGAATTCCCGGCTTATTCCCGGTTTTTTCCCGGCCTAAAACAGAGCTTTTGAAGCGTTGTTTTAAAAATACCCATTATTGAGAAAGTGTGAATACGATCCAGTTTGAAGGCTTAGAGCGCTTCTTATCACATACCCATAGAAACGTACCTTTGATTGCACGTCAAAAAGCGCTTTCGTTTTTTCACCGGAAGTTAAGATTCTGATGTAGAGCTGAACTAAGTCAACTTTAGGCAATTGCCATGAATACACGAAATTTCACCAATACAGCAAAGACAAAATTTCGTTTGGAACGAATAGACACACAAAAAAGGGAAAGAAAACATTCGCGAGCGGAGCGAGCGCGAAATTTTTCGTGATCCTAAGTGTTAAGCCACTACTAGGCGCTCTAAAACGCTCATAGCGTTTTTACCCTATTTCACACCCTCTGTATTCAGGGACTGACAGAGAAGAGTTAATGCGAGCGAAGCGAGCGAAATTTTTCATTCAAGGGGTGGAATGAGCACCAAAACGCGTCTAAAAGGGCGTTTTTCATAGCTCGCAATCATCCGCCGGCAATCGGCCATGGCTTCTAACGCCAAAGTACAATATTTTCCCGGTTGCAGACTAAATTCCCGGCTTATTCCCGGTTTTTTCCCGGCGCTAAAAATTCCCGGCTTATTCCCGGATTCCCGGAAATTCCCGGTGAGTGGGAACCCTGCGTTCGACATCGAGATTAGTCCTTCAAGGACCCACCTGCCGAATTTGGATTTTTTTGGTGCACGGGTTTTTGAGAAACAATGTGAGAAGTCTTCCCGTGCAAGGCGTTGCGCGCGCCGCGCGGAGCCCGCCAGCGCGCTGGACGGCCGGGACTTTAGCCTCCTCTTAAACCATACACTGGCTCCAGGAGTAACATCCGTGTGGACTTCCGCCTCTGGGACGGCTGCCTTCCGGGTGGCTAAGTCTGCGATGTTTGTACTAGCAGTCCCATAGTGACCGTATGCGTTAGCGAGACATAAAGTCTGAGCACCCTCTGCTAATTATTGAGCTACAGGGCTATGCTGTGCATTACCTAAGATAGCTAATGTCCATTAGCAGAGACAGCTAATTCAATGCTGCTAACTTTTTTAGCTGTATGGCTATCATTTTAGCTGTCCATATAAAGCTACTGGAATTAGCCGTGCAGCCAAGTTTTAGCTGCACAGCTAATTTTTTTTGGCGTGTAGGCACGAAAAATTGGAAAAATCACAATCAGAAGCCAGCCGCGCAGGTCGCGCGCGCTCGGGCGGCCAGCCGGGCCGGGCCGAGCATCGCCTCAGCCGCTCACCCGGCCGTTGCATACACGGTAAACAACAAGCAGGCCCGCCCTTCCGCCAAACGCAGTTGCCAGCTCCACTTCGCTGCGCCGGCAACTCCGTTCGGCAGGGGCCGGGCCTGCTTGGCCTGCCGGCGGCGATGGTCGGGCCTGCGGCCCGACCCTTTCAGTTTCGCGATTTACTGAAGAACATAACCAAATAAATAATGTGACTGTTAAATCACTTTGCATATTTGGGTAAACTAACTTCCGGTGGGGGGCCTGCGGCCCTAGAGATTTGCTCCTTTCACATGACAAAAGACTGTAACGGGGCAACACCGTCCCGGGTAAAAATGGTTTGTATACAAATTTTATAA